GAGCGACCACGCGTTGATGGAGCCCTCCAGGAATTCAAAACACCAAGGTGGCATTTTCTTTCAAGCAATTGGTTTCCTCAATAATAAAGAAGTGGAGTCATTTTAACAGTCCGCCGCAAGTATGTTAGTAGCCTTCCCTGTCTTTCTACGCCACTAAAGCAGTGTGCGTGTGTTTGAGGTTACAACTGATCATTAAAATTCACACCCTCATCGTTACATCAACCAAAAATGTAGCCAGATTGTTAGCAGCGTGCACGTCCCCTTAAATGAAGAAGACCCTTGTGTGAAATGTCAAAAGTGATGTTTTATGCATGCTACTGTGCCTATTAAAACTAATACCAAATTTAAATTAATTTATGGTGTAACACGCAGATTTAAACAGCAATTAGTGATCAAATTTATGACAGCCTGGAGGAAATGTCAGGGCAAGTCATTAATAAACACTAAGCATGGGATTCATTCATTCATTCATTCATTCTCATGAACCAGTGCTAAACCAAAAGGACAGTTGTTAGCCAAACTAGATGCTAATCTGCTCCTTTCTTAACACAGGCTCAATTTACAATCACATCTGGAAAGTTTTCTGCTAGCCATCAAATCTTTGTTTTTTCACAGACCATTTGCTGAAGAACCAACAATTGAAAAGTTAAAAGTCCTTCTGTAACTTTTAAGATAATTACACCCTTAATTACATTTGTAGAGAATGTAATGTTAAGTACCGAGAATTTGAAGTGAACACTGACAGTGAAACATTCTCTGTTATCCAGTCAAATTAGCAGACTGGAACTAACTACTGTATACTAGTATCCCACACAGTATATGTAAAAACAAATAGATTCATTTCATGAAACCATATTAAGTATATGATACAGCTCCAGTATGATATAGTTCCAGTCGTTCAACAATGTTTATCAAAATTTTAAAGTTTCAAAATGTGTTACATGCATTTTAACTTTGCAAAGATCCCTGCACAAAAGTGACGACTATGGACAAAAAACCTTGTAAGTCTTAGGAGCTGATAAAATATTTATCCATAAAGATGCCTTCGTTTCTGTAAGAGTTTCATGATGTGCAGACAGAAAACTTGACAAGTTCCACAAGCCCATGTCTTTACCTTTTGATGCAGACAGTGGTTAAATTGCTCGTGCAGTGGAAAGGGCCAATCGGGTAGCTTTAAAATAGCCAATAATATTATAATGACTATATGCTTACCATATAATAAACCATTTATTTTTCTTTCTTTCTTTCTTTCTTTTACTTTACAACCAAAACCTCCAGCAGTATTTATGATCAAATGGGAGTCTTTAATTACCAAAAATGGCTTCTGTTTACACCCTTAAATGGTTTTGATAATGACCACAGACTGAGAGTGTGTATGCATTTGTGCATTTGTGAATGTTAGAGCAATGTGTCAGACTACATGAGCTGTTTTCATGGGGGATGTGTGAATGTGCTGCAATGCATTGTGGGATGCTTTCAGTGGGCGGGGCTATGGCAATGCGGGTCGGGCCTGTAGCAGGTATTATTCATCAGGGCACATAATTGACCCTGTGGGATGTGTGATGGAGGAGGAGACCATGGTGGGCTCATCTCTTTTTTTCTGCTCTTATTTTCCATTTTTGTTTTCTGTTTCCCTGTTCTAGCTCACTTTCTATTAGTATTTCTTCTTCTTCGTCTTCTTTTTTTTTTACTCTTTTTATTTGTTCACAGGAACATAGAGTAGCAAGTGAATATTAGCACACACACTCACACACTCATAAACACGAAGCACCATATGCTTTCGGCACCATCTGATTTTGAATGATGGTCAGGCTGTCTGAGCATTTGCAAAAATAAACAATTATAAAAAACACTACATCCTACCAACATAATTATCACTATATATAAATATATACTGGATGTCATCAAATGGTTATGGTTATGATTATTACTCTCAATAATACATTAACTACATAACTAATATTTATACCATATTTGATATACACATAATGTGTATATCAAATATTGGATAAATATTACATTTACATTTAGTCATTTAGCAGACAATTTTATCCAAAGCGACTTACAAATGAGGACAATAGAAGCAATCAAAACCAACAAAAGAGCAATAAAATGCAAGTGCTATGACAAGTATCGGTTTGCCCAACGCAGTACATGTAGCAAGGTTATACAGTGGGTACGGAAAGTATTCAGACCCCCTTAAATTTTTCACTCTTTGTTATATTGCAGCCATTTGCTAAAATCATTTAAGTTATTTTTTTTTCCTCATTAATGTACACACAGCTTAAGATAAACAAGCAGTTAGAAAACAAATAGAAAGTGCAAGTGACAGAGGGTCATATGATATTATATACTGTAGTTATATACTGTACTTAGAATATGATGATGATGATTATTATTATTATTAGTAGTAGTAGTAGTAGTAGTATACAAAATAACAAAAATGTGAAATAATATAGTTTTATATTCATAAGAAATACTATAACAATTACTATATTACTAATTATATTTTTTATATTTACAGAAAAATAATGATGCTTCCCTGTGCAGAATCCACTGCCATGACGCTACCATAATCTGAGTGGTCTTTGGTGTGTGGCTATGTGGTTGCTAGAGTATTCTGGGAAGTTGCTAGGGTTCTGCAAGGCGGGTGCTTATTAGACCAGGTCAAAAGTGTGGGTCGCAATGATATCTTGGTCTCTAGTTATTGCTAAGGGCCCTATTTCTGTGTAACTCTTTGTGATTTTTTTTTTTATTATTTATTACTACATAGGGTATCAAAATTATAAAATTCTAAAATTATAATCTGACTGCTTAGAAAAGTAATGGCACACCTCTCATTAATAACTTGCATCACCATGTATCATTCTTCCCCTTAAAACAAATGGTATGGTTAAAAACAAAAAGGTTAATACTTGGGTAAACTCTCAGTTTTAGTGTGTGATATTAATAGTGATATTTGCATGAGCAAGTTCTATTGAATTATAAATAATACATTTTATATGCATTCATTTTTAATACATGTTGATCTAGGCATTAAGTAAGAGTCTTCTAAAATAATGCAATTATTCTGTTGTTGTTTTTTCTACACTGATTGGAACACAAGTTTAAACAATGCATCCGTGGCTCTAACAAAGAACAAACGTGTGTCAAGTAGCATCCAGAGGAGGGAGCCAGCGGACAGAACAAAGCCCTCCCCATATCATTCATTAAACAGTCATTACAAACAGTCTTTGTCATCATATAGTGCTTGATATTAATTTGTATAGCTGCAGTACAGCATGAGTACCATTCTGCTATCGCTAACCTCAGCTAACCATATATTTCCCCTCTCTGTTGCTCTCTGAAACAAACACAATTTCCTGAACAAGGATGACATTTGTAGCGGATACCTTGACGATATTTTGCTGTGCGATGCTAATATAAAGAGGCAGCGACTGCATGACTCACTAGTGGGAACGCAGACCTAATTTCGGTTGTGTTTGTGCATTCATCACACAAGGTTCGCTATAAATAAACAAATCAACCAACAGAACTTGGTTTGTGTCCCTGCGTTTATGTTTTCAATCTCCTCTGTGAGTAATACCAGCTCGAGCTGTGAGGTGCCAGTCTGGGGTCTTGACAGCAACTCAGACATAGATGTCGTGCGGTGGGCAGCCCATCTAGATGAAGATTAATATAACAGAAAAAAAGCAGGTCGGGGCAGAGCTGCAGAAGCTGATTTGCTCAGATAGCAACAGAGAAACAAACACCCAAATAAAAAAAAAAGAATAGACTGCTAACCACAACAAACATCCAAAACATTGACTGTAGCCAAGCAGAGAATAAATCATTCTATCGCAGGAGATCAATTGAGTGAATGCAGAAATATCTATGCACATATTTACATTCATATTAGCTCAGATGAGAACTGCAGGTACAGTGGCACAGGTTAAACATCCTCTCAGATATAGTTCACCCAGCCAGGCCTGGGATAGAAAAACAATGCTACATTTCTAGACATACAATTCAGATGTGTGACTGTCTGCTTGTGCATTTAATTATTGTTTTACCTGTATGCGTGTGTGTCTTCTGGTGCAGTCATGTGGACTTCTACCGAATTATCGACTGTCTTAAGAGAGTCAAAGTTTTATTCAGACAGCAAAAAGACTATCAGTCACCATCTCAGCTAAAGTAATAAATCAGCTGAGCTTTTAATGGGCTCAGAATATATATGTAGATAAACCAAAGTGGTTTCAGATAACATATTTCTTAATACTAACATCAAAATGGTCTGGATACATCCTATTTTTGCAACTAGGTGTGGTACTAAAGTGGTTTCAGAGGAAAGGCCTTTTTTACTTCATAATATACGGTGTGTTAAATTTATAAAACAATTATAAGATTATAAATTGCTTGTTATAGACTGTAGACAAGATTGTAGTAGTGTAGTGTATACACAACTTTCCTTGCCCTTGTGTGTTCAGGTTAAAATGTATGTATAAACACCATGGACAGACCTGATTTCTCTGGGAGGTTCGAAGATATCAATCAAGTATGTGTGCTAATGAGAGGGATTGTGTGAGTTTGCCTTTGCGTGTCTCTGTGTTTGAATAATGCATTTAAGACTGCTTGTGGATTTATTTATTTATTAAATATTATCCTTGCAATCAGATGAAGCTCTTTTTTTTCTTCTTCATTTTAGTAATGTCTGTTAAGTTCAATACTGCACCATATTATAATACGATCGAGCAGGTATATTTCTAGATCATAAATACACGTTCCCTGCCCTTGAGTAGCAAGTTAAAGATATATGTGTGGTGGTCATGTCTAGGACATGCTTTGGCAATTCCGTTTTCATGAGCTCATCTCTCCTGGAGAATCCATGATTTTGTTTGTAGGTGTGTATGTGTAAGTGAGTGACACGACAGACACTATCCATTATCCTTTAGGTCACATCAATGAAGTGTTACACATCCTTTACACACGTAGAAGACGCATCACACACACCGCAAACTCACCGCAGTACACGATGAGAAGCGCCGTCAACAGCAGCACAGCCCAGAAAGTTGTCGACATCCTCGGCCAGTTAATCGCATCCTTACGCTTAATCGATCTGACCGCCGGAGCCATGGAAACGCGTGTCGTGAAATCGGCGATAAATTCAGCGTTACAAACCCTCCCGTCCTCTGAGGAAACGTCTCTCTCCACGAGTGATTCTTAAAAAAGACATTTTGAAAACAGACCGCTCATTTCCAAATCCCCTCAGTAGTCTTTAAGTCCAGTAAATCGAAAATAAAGTCTCTAGTTGACCGTGGTCGATTCAGTGTATCCTGGCAAACGGATAATCCAAAAACAGGCGCGTGAATTCAGATTTTGTCATAAATATTAAACTGTCGACGGCACAGTGTCCCCCACGTCAAAGCTCCGTATAGAAAAAGGAAAATATACTCGGTAAAGATTAAATTATTTACGTCGCATCGCCGTGAGAACTAGCTAAAGAATTGCTCAGTTGGTCTGTGAGGACGTGCTTGATTTCTCTCAGACTCACAGAGAAAAGATCCCATCGCAAAGCGTCTGGATTTGGCAAATATTCGCTAAGAAGGGATCGAAGTCCCGATCAAGAGACGACGAGGAACATAAAGAGCTGTGAGCAGATGAAATGGAAAGATCTAGAGAGCTCTGAAGCTGCGCAGACCGACACATGAACTGAAACTTCGTGCCGCCTCAACTTTTACTTACACTGCATACGAGCGACGACGCGAAAAACCCCAACACTCTGCCGTTATAATTAAGGAACCTGTTTAATCTTGCATTGCAGACATCTTCCTTGATTACAACTGGAACGTTCTCCTTTTGACGCGTCAAGCTGGAGAGCAGACGTGTAGACGCTGTTTTAATTAGGCACACAGATTATTTTACCCCAGCACATTTTGTTTTCTTTATCTTTTATTTCATCCATCAGTCTCGTATGCTGCAATTATTCGTGACGTGTGGTTAACATGTTCTACACTCGGGTGCGTGTGCGCGCGCGTGTGTTTAAATAAAACTTTTTTTTAAATGTCTGCAAAACCTCAGAGCAGAGGATATCTTTGTGGAACTTTTCAGCAGCAAAGTGTCTGGACAGCTTCCACCCACACTATTGTCATTAGAAAGTGGCCATATTAGGAATATTAGTCACTTGCAATGGTATTCTATATACAGTATATATATATAGAGAGAGAGAGAGAGAGAGAGAGAGAGAGAGCTATGTCTATCTGATCTGACATTTCAAACTAGTTAATAATAATAAAACTAGTTGTAATTGGTTTAACACAAATTAAGTACTTTGTTTTCTCAATTCCTTTCTAGGGATTATATATCAGAGGTTAATTCAGTCATGTCAAATGCTTTCATTGGTGGTACCACACAAAATATTTTACAGGGTTTATTCACACTTGGAGTAATAGCAAGTTTGACAGTATTTTAAATTACAGGTAGATAGATAGATAGACACCATAAAAGTGATAACCCACATTATTATAATTTTTCAGCTTAAAGAGCCATTTGTACCTTACTTACCCCCCTCTCCCACTGTTTTAAAATATGATATGACAATACTTCATTAATTATTGGTGGGAAACTGAGAAAACATTGGTGTCAAACCAATTAAAATATTCAACAGGTGTCAGATAAGACAAATATATTCTTAATATATCCAATTTCTAATGAGTGTAGAATTACAATAGCGGGAGCTGTTCACATTGTGTGGTGCTGAAACCTGTTTTCTGCATACAGTTTCTCATAGAACCATTGCTATCCACCTTTTTCTTGCCGTAAAAATGGGCGCGGCCATTTGTAAATTATATGGGTCTAGCTTCCGGTCTCATCCGCGTCCAGCTATTTTTAACTGTACAAAACAGTTTGTTTTGCTGCTTGATATTGAAAATTGGTGTGTCTTACCATATTATTTTAATGTAGGCCTATTATCTTAATTATGAACACACTGGTTTGTAGTGCAAACAGTTTTACCATTTACTGCACGTTGTTATTCTTCTTGTTATTTACATATAGTGGCTAATGAACCAGAAATCTCGCCCATAGGCTTACTTCCGCGTTGAAGGAAAAGGTGGATAAGCAGTCGTGTGTGAGTGTGTTGTGTGTGTGTCATCATAATGTTCGGTTATTCTACATACACCTTGCATATCTTGGGAAAGCCAGTCTGATTTTCTTTCCTAACTATTCTGATTGGTGCTGATATTTAATTACAAACTTTAGATTTAAAAGAACTTGAAGGGGGAAATAAGATGTCTATTTCAATATTAGAATTATTAATTTCACACACAACATTGGGGTCTCTGTGACCCTAAACATGACTTGAAGTCAATATCAACAGAACCTGAAGTTTAAATGAAACAATTTATTTTGCTTTGTATTCAGCTTATAAATAATTGTAAGAGTACCCACTGAAACTCTCTCAAAGAGATGTCTGCATAAGAATAATTTCTTAGTGGAGACATGAACCGGATTTAGAAATGCCACATGACTTTGCAGGTGCTTTGAGGTGTTTCACCCTTCCCTGTCTCTTCAAAGTGTGAGTTTCCATTCCCCTATGTCCCTTTCAGCAGTCTGCACTGCTCTGTCTCTCTGTGGTTGTGCAGTGCACTACTTAGCAGGAACACCTCTTTATGTAGTCGCTTGTGATCGACTGAGCGTTGACCTTTCACATCACTCTTCTTTTGATCTTTCCACACTCTACTTCCCCTGTATCAGAATGGAGATTTGTCTTAGAAGGAAAGACTCCATGCTGGAGTTCAATGTCTTTTCTCTTTTATTTACTGTAATTTTCCCAGTCGCAAAGACACAAAGCCATACTGTTAGCAAAGCAGAGACTGCAGTAAGGCCTTTTGGAGACCTTATTATCTGTGGGCAATTAAAGTTACAGTTCACTATAAAAATGGAAACTCTGTCATGATTTAATCACCTTCATGTTATTTCCAAACCTGTTTAATTTTCATTGATACCTGGAAAATACACAGAGATGTTTAGAAGAATTTTCACACTGGCATGTTTCATAAAAAGCAAGAAAGTATTGTGATACTTTTAATAATTTTATTTTGTGTAAAAAAATAAAAAAGAAAGAAATAAAGAAAAGAAAAGAAAAGAAAAAGCACCGGTCCAGAACACATGCACGTATGAGTGAACTCCTTCATCACAATGCCACAGCATGGGTGGGGGAAATAACCAAATATGTCCTTGTAACTGTAACACTGTCACCTCCTGATAAAGGAAATGCAATTTGTGTATAATAAGGACACAGAGCTACTATTGTATGATAATCATTAAAAGCATTTTAAACAGTTTTTCAAGTTGAAACAAACCAATCTTTTTTTTTGTCCAATTTATGACAAGATAAAGTTTAAGATAACAAAATGATATTTTATGGGTCAAATCAGGTAGAAACAGCTCTTTAAGGTAAAGATTGCAGATTATCATCTTTTACAGTGTCTTTATTCTTAATTTATATTTTTTTAAAACTGCCTTTTTTTCCTGTTGAAAATCCTGTTTCACTTAAAAATAAAATGCGTTGCAAAATTTAACAGGAATCTATAGAGACATAGATGCTTTGTGTAAAAATGAAAAATCCCTCTACATGAAGAGATAATCCTAACCCAACTGTTTTGACCCTGGAGAATAACCCCCAGTTACCCTCTGATCATGTCAGGTCCAAGAGTAATCAACAGTCAAACCAAGATTTGTTTGTTCTCATTCACAGAATAAGAAAATATCCATACTGGCCTTTTCTTGACTTTTTTTGATAGTGGTGATGGAAATTTCCCTCTGTAGTAATTTCTTCTCAGAAACAATGCGGCTTGTTTCAAAGGCGAGTGTGAGTTGTGGAAATATGGGATCTATGCCTGTGGTATGAAATAACATTGTTATTTCCAGATCTAATGGAAGCACGTTATCAACTTGGGAGCATGTTCTCTGAGATTTGGGCTGAAATGATTCTTTGTAACCCAAGATAAATGGGCTGTCTTGCAGTCTAGCAAACATGACTTAGGGTACGTAGTTCATAGCGCATTAGCTGCTCTTCACTTGTTACAAGTGGCAGGCTGAAAGGGGTGGGAAATAAATATCTCTAAATGATACTACAATTGAAACATTCTCACACTGGACTAACAAGCAAGTTGGACTACTGATCATTAGTTTTGTGGATTCACTATTATACTATAACATCCATTTATTATTGAATCTTGCCTGCAGCCTTTACATGACTCGGAAATGCAATGATTATTGACTTGTTTACTTGGGTGGAATTCAGACAGTAATTTAAGCAACGGCTCCATTCTGAAAGCCTAAATTATTGCTAGAAACATCCCGCCAAAAGCAAAACAAAATGAGATTTGCCATAACCAGTGAGGGTTTGGATGTTGCAAGCAAGCCAATATTTGCAAATGGGTAACCAAGCATCACTTTCCGATACCAGTCAAAGATCGACACAATTTTGTCTCTTAGTGTGTTTAATTTCACAAGCTGCTAGGTATACATGCGTGCAAATGGCCTTAGAATCATTTGTTTCAAATGTTTGCATTGATTGTTCTGTGGCCAGTAAATGAACAGGCTTCTCAGAAATCATGACAGAAATCATCTGTACGAACACTATTGTTAATATTGCAGTATTCACTCCACATGGAAAGCAGATTATTATCGCATAATGAAGTCTGTGTCAAAAATGACATGACGGAGTGGCTTCCCTCGCAAGAATGTTTTTCTTTTGGAATTAAGAAGAAAAAAAAACTTTTAATGGGATCCAGACAATAACAATTATCTGCAGGTAAATTCGCTTTCTTCTGAATATGGTCCCATTAATTGCATTTACGTACTTTCAAATGAAGTATGTCGAATGCTTTTAGTCAACGATTCCCAAACCAATTTGAATGGTAATGAATATATTTCATTGGGATCTGAAATGGTCCCTGGATGTGTTTCTGCTCTGGCTGGGAAATTACGAGCAGGACGTTCATGGGTTTGCAGTGATTACAACCTCCTTCGTGTATAAGTGGATATGTGTGTGTAAAACGTTAATTGTATTGCCCTACAAGTACAACACCAGTGCTTCAAGAGCTATAACAAACCAGCCTGATCTCACTGTTATACTCTATGTAGGTATCTGTATGTAACACTTACGAAAAGTACAGTACATATTTGGATAGATGTTGAAATGTAAGGATTTAATGACATCTGTAGAAATCTAAAGAAAAAAAACATTATATCATAAATATATAAATATTTGGAAAAGCACACACCTCTCAATAAAAGGTCTAACAGCTAAAAATGCAGATCAGAGCAAAAACCAAAGCCCTGAGGTCAAAACAACTGCCTGTAGAGCTCAGAGACAGCATTGTGTCAAGGCAGAGATCTGGGGAAGTCTCAGCTTAATGTATTACACGTAGCAAGTTTTTTTTTATTATTATTATATAGGCCTAATAAATAAAAAGAAAATTAATAGATAGAATACAAAAATAATAGAGAAGCTAGTGTTAGTTTTTTATTTATTTATTTTTATTTTTTTAACACTTAAAAAATTGGATGGTTGTCTTACTTACTT